TTGCACTAACCGCACCCAGACCTACACATTGTACGTAGGCAGGTTACTGTAGTCATCTGTACTCAATGGCACACGCATTTGGACAACTCGTCCGAAGTCCAACATCTAATTTCACTTTTTCGAAGCCCTATGTTCCTATTATCACTGCAATTTCGCGTTTTCTCCCCCACCTTCGACTAATGAGGGCTGTCCCACTTCAATTATTCGTCTGAAACTAGATGCTTCAAAATCATGTTGAACTGTGCCTTCAAGTGAGAACGTTATGTCGCTGGGCCCGAATGGCGCTCCAACGGAACATCACACATTTACAACTCTGTAGCAGTGTTCCACAGAGTCACAATCAGTCATTTTACAATCTTCACCAATACTAACCGAATTTGGTGGAGGGCGAAGTCCATGTGGCGGCCTGCCCAAGAACATTTTTCGGTGTCTGGTCCATTCTTTATATTTCTGAAATTAAGGGGATATTGAGATTTGGTGAGCGCAAACCTGAACTTTCAAACTTACCTTTGGTTCCTTCTCCTCATTCTCTTTAGTCGGTTTGAGAGCATTGTGAACCCCTTCTAATGGATGGTTCACTTTCACTTTCGGCTTGATCGATTCTTCAACCTCTGAATTTCCTTGGATCATGTATAAATTTTCGTTGGCTGTGAATCTTACCTTCGGATTTCACGGGTTGATGGAAAGGGCTAGGAACATTCGAAATCCAAATGTCAATATTTTGTGAGATGAGCGTGCGAATGGTTGTCAAGCCAGGTGGGTCGCGAGGACTGGGCGGATACATGTCAGCACAATGAGCGGTCCCTGAAATCAGCATTTTGTAGATCTCCTGAAAAAGTAGGTCTATTGGTGGCCAGGGCGCATAATTATCATTCCACACAGAGCTGCGTTAACGCTTCCAACCATTCATTCGAATGGCCTCCTGGGATATACGCTCTGGATATAGTGGAGCATGGCCCCACGCAGTTGGAATCGCTGTTCGTAGTAGGAGTTGGATAACACTCCAAGAACGCTATCCGCTTAACTAGACCTTCAGTATATGTGCACAATGCTACCATTGTTGCAACGTAAACAATGTAAACAAAACAATTCAAGTAAACAAGTGGAAATGTTGGGGACTAACCATTAACGAGGTACCACACAACAGACGGATCGTTCGACGTGTACTTTCCGAGCGCATGCCACGGATCAAGCGAGCCATTGGGAATCACCACATTTGTTCCCTGAATGGAAAATTCGAGTCGAGCATAGTATCAGTCTCGAACCATGAGCCCATACCTAAGCCCGTGCTGCTAGTGCCTTACTGCTCACCTTATATCCGCCAGCACCTCCGTAGAAGTCGAGTGTCGATTGAATAGATTTGCTGATTTGATCTTCATCGAACTGCTGTCCGAAAATATCACGACACATGTTGGTGAATAGACTGAAATAGATGGGCTAGTGTCTTTTAGTTTCCTCACTTCGCTTTTTTTTCAATTCGTTGAGGAATCATATTCGTTTATAGTATAAAGTCAGTTTCAGCTAACCTCAACGGAGTGACAGAACCAAAAATGCCATTTGGACCGCCATCAGTTGTTTGGTAGTAGCCGAATTCAGTGCACGTTTGCCATGTCCAACTGCGAGCACCGGCTGGAATGAGAATTCGAAAGTTCATCAGGCAAGATTGTCATCCTTGACTGGTCTACAAGTTCTACAGAAGTCCTGTTGACCCCAGACACCTGTAGAAGCAATAGGACGTGTGAGGTTGAGCTCCCTACCGAGCCGGGATTTCGTCACTTTTTGCCCACTGTTAAGAGCGTTCTAGCTCCATAAATGCCTATTAGTGATACAGAAATGCTTTCGAGCTTCAAAATGCCTATAAGAAATGCGTGCGATGAACGCGCTGCGACCGCACGCGGCTCAGGTCAACAGAACTCTGCGCAAGGTGTTAGACAATGTGCAAACTCACAATCGAAATCTTCATCGTCACCAAATTGCGTCTTTCTCAAGTAGTCTATCATATCTTGGTAGCTGTTTGGAGTCGATTCAAAATCACCGTACATTCCTGAATTTACGGATTTCTTGGTTTTCCCCGTACCACTTTACCCAAATGATGCTGAAAATTGCTCTGTACTACATGGAAACCCAATAAAAGCACTGCCAATGACTTACCGGCCATATATTCGTTAACACGCTGCAAAGCGGTCAGCTCGTCAGTGCTATTATCGTTCATAATTCGGCATACTTGTGGGATACCGTAACCACTGGCGTATAAACCCTACAATAGCTCTCTGTTTTTTGGCAGTTTGCCTTGATTCATTTCCTGACACCAACCGCATTGTCTCCACTGTACTGAACTGCTCCTTGGAAATTCCCGTATATGGTTGAGTAGAAGTTTTGTACGTCGTTATACGTTAATGAAAGGTTTGAAAATGGTGGATTGAGCCTGGAAAAAGGGACTACGCTCTGAGGCTCCGAGGCTCCATAGATGAATTTTTGGAGAAGCTTCATTCTATGTACTACCAGGACAGGAAAAAATGAGGGAGGAGGGGCGTTGCTGCGTCGGCAATCGCGTTGCGCTGTTTTGAGCGCGTTGAGCGCGTAAAGGGAAAATGAAATACAAATAATAGGGAAAGGTAGGAGTAATTACCAATAGAAAGAAGTAATAACAACAAAAATCCTCTTACTTGAACAGTTCGGACAATTGATCCCGCCCTAGTTTAGTGTTCATCATATCTATCATATGCATGAATCCTATTCGTACATTCTCGGCACATTCATCGCTGTATGAACGTAGTGAGTCCTCAACCACTTGAAGGTATCCTGAAATCAATGAGAATTTGCCATGACCGCTTATTAATGTAAGAACATACTTTTCCTGCTCAGCAACCTAGCAGCTCGGCGCCGCACAGCATATGACGCGCGCGTTCGCGTCGCAACATGCAGCTAGAATTTCGAGTATCGTAGAGGTGGCCGCAATCGCGTCTGCACTAGCAGATCATGGTGCCGGGCAAAAGTCTGGGTAGGCGTTTGTTTGCAATAAAAGTTGTAATTTATGGCAAAAAGATGCAATTTTGAGTGGCTCAGTCATGCGCACCGCAACGCGACCGCTCGCGTCCTTGATGGTTGCGCTCTTGTTCTAAGAACCATATTATCCCCACGGTTCTCGCGGATCCGCTGTTTTCAAGTCAGATATCGCACTTCTTACTTAAAGCTCCCATATGTTTTTGATAAGGATAGAAACGCACTCCAAAAGTCGAGTTCGGCTTCGACTGGTGCTGAACTACCAACGGCTCCGACGACCATTTCTGGGTGTAGCTGACGAAACCATAGCGACAGTGCGCCTAAAAAGATACTCTCTTCTTATTTTCCTTTAGACTTTTCATAAAAAAAANAAAAAAAAAGCACGAACCTGAGTATGATCCTCCGAATGTTACCCAACTTGGATTTCTGAGCTTGTACTTCTGATTCATTAGTCGAATGAATTCGGCTATATCTTCGATAGCTTGACGACTGTTTAGGAATTTTAGGTTGTCCACGGACTGGTCCCTGAAGTAGATCGTGTCTAAAAGCAAGGAGCGCAGAAAAAAACATCAGGAGTGCATTGTGGGGCAGGATCAGCCTATCGAGTAAACCCATACTGACACAGTTGGACGGCTTTGACCATAAAAGCGATGCTCAAGATCGAATAGAATGGCTCCTTTTTCTTTTGCCCATTGAACGAATGGGTAAGCTTCATTTTGAACCTGAAAAACATTATGAAGTCCCCAAACAGTTGCGAAGGACATACAGCCTTTTGAGATATGGCTGTACTCACAATCTAGCGACGACTGAACGACGAGATTTATTCCACTCACCCAGTCGATTCTTTCTGGACCTTCACCTCCAAGGATCAGGAAAACGACACTCGAGTCCCCTCTTTGGTAGCGAAAGTTGGCGAAGTAGCGCTAAATCAGATAATCTCGACGTGCTGAAGATTTTAGGGTCATTGAGAATTCGCATATCTTCTGTCCTATCAACTAGGAAAGAGCGGTCAAAGAGATGCAAGAGTGGTGATAACTCGTGTCATTGAGTCAAGATAAGCGGAAGGGGTTCTCCATGGGTCAAGATTAGCCCACAGATAAAATGTGCTATAGTATGTAGTGAGCGAAAAAAGAAGGCGTGCTGGCATATTAACCCATTGACGACCGGTTGGCCTCACCATATCGTACTCCTATAGTATTTACATTATTTGTCAAGTGTTCTTATAATTTTTTTCATGCTTTCAAGTATCAGCTGAGATCACAGCCTTCTAGGGGGTCTTGAGGCATTGTGGTTCAGGAATCATTCATTTAAAACAACAGTTATGAGAAAAATTAAAAGTTAATGTAAGTACAGTATAAAAGGCGCGGTCACCAATGGGTTAAAATGTGCAGGGCAGTAATTCTGGAAGTATTATACACAGTACGGAAAGTAGTACTTTCCTGCCAGAGCTGAGGAAGCAAACAGAACAGAACGAGCAGTGATGCCAGTAACAATGGCACCACCTAATAGCAGAAGGAACAGCTGCAGAAAGTGACCGATGTCATCAAAACTCAAAAAAAAGCTATTGTAGTTAGTGGAATGTGGTGAGGCCTTCCGAATAAACAATGCCCACGAAACATGGAATCGAACGGAAAGTACCGAACGGAAAGCATGAGCGATGCACGCCAGTCAGTGGATAGCACTCTGGCTCTGATGGTGAGAATAGGAGAGTATCACCTTGAAGTTGGTGAGATAGGTGGTATTGAAGATGGACGAAAAATCTATGAAAGGCGGAAAAGGGAAAGAATCGGAGCTTCTGTAATATGGCCGAACGCCTGCCTGAAAAAAGGGCCTGCAACGAAACGTTATGGTGGGAGAAACGTTCCTCTAGCCACCTCGTCGTTTGCGAGTTTTTCCCTCTCATACAAAGCTTACCCTTTGACGAGGAACAACTTCTCTGCATACCCAATCTCTCCCATAAACATGGAAAGATGAAGCACTTAGCGTGAGTCAATGCCGTTCGAGAATACGCCCCCGAACTGGACTCCCTTTCTGAGTCGTAACGGCGTTTGAACGCCTAAGTTGACCTGTGGTTGCTATCCTATGTGAGTCAGAGGTTCATTCTCCCAAGCGTGATTGAAACTAATTAACTGTCCCTACAGGATTGAAAAGCTCAGTTGACCTGAGCAGGGACCGATCCATGATTCAATCCTTGTGTCATGCCTATTATAGCGAGCGCCTTGCCTCTATGCCACTGCTTTGATTAGATCATCAAGAAGAATCCCCAGGAGGCCATCACTGATGGCAAGAAGGTTCATGACGGTGGAAGAATAAGACAAGCAATATTTTTTGATAACATCCGATCATTTACGAAAGGACTCCATAGATGTGCAGTCACAAAAAGCAAGAAAACTGTCAGCACACGATCACGAAGTGATTCATAGAAGCTCAGGACAAAGAACGTAAATCGACGTAAGCAGGAATCGATGAAAACCATCAAGGAAAATGATACTGTAAACAGGAGTCTTGCATTGGATAGGTGCTAGGAAGTCAAACGTCAGAACATAGAGTTCACCTGTTTCCAAGTGGCTTTTGAGGATTTGTTGAAGTGGTCGAGTTTCTGAACAAAGTAGCCTTCAGTGGCACCAAATGGAGCTGGTCGTTTAGCAGCTGCTAGCTGGAAGGAAGACATTTTTTCATCAATACTAGAAGCTCTTTTAGGTGATCACTAATTGCAACATACCGTTCCTTCATCGAGTTTTTTATGAATTCTCATGCCAAACATTGGCCGTCCTAGATGGAAAGTAGGTGTCCATGACGTTGCCGGCCATGCCTGAAACACAGAGTATATGGTCACCTAATTTCCGCTCAACTTTGTAGGAGAATTCCTGCCTTTACCACTGATCGAAGAGAATTATAGGCCCATCAGTTCTAACCCCCATTGCACTTCCAGTGTGATTACATAATTCCGTCGGATGGATGCGCCTTCGCTTCGACATCCATTCAGGATCGTAGCGGCGGTTTGACTGCCTATGTGGCCTATACAATTACTAACGTGACCACCCGATGTACAAGCCGGTGCTTTTATCCTCCCTGACGAGCCAACTGAAAGACCGTGAAGGGATGGAATAATTGATAGGCCTAGGCAGATGTCGACCAAGGACTTTTTTGATGGATCGTGTGCCTGACTACAGAATCGAAGGCCCACTGAGGCCACGATAACGCTGCCTGAATAACATACACATACAACTTTTCCCTGACTTTTCCCCTTACTTCACAATTTCGTTAAACTTCTTGAGAACTCTACAAAATTCCTTCCTCTGTGGTCTTTTCATCGATCAAAATCTCGCAAATGTTTTGGGGCTCGGTTAATGGCTTTTGTAATTCCTACAGAAGACATCTACCTGCAATAATAGCAGCACCAGCACCCAGAGAATCGTCATGCACCCTGAAAATAAAGGTCTATTGAAGAATAAGTTAATATAGAAAAGAGCAAACGATTAAGTATGAGTGAATGCGTTCATGATCGATGAGAGGGCTTATCAGAGCTGTATTTTGTGACGATCGTTGTGTGTGTCAAGTGGAGTTTTGCTTATCTTGAGAAGGAAAAAAAGTGAAAATGCCTTGCATGCCCTTAAACTGCCCTGAGAGTCATCCGTCACTTCAACAAAACAATTCACAAGCATATAAGGGGACAACTTTTTTCAATTTCAGTTTTCAAGTACTGTTGTTGTGCAAGATGCCCCTGGCTATTCGATACGGAAGTTGATCCCAATGCACTCACTATTCACTGATTTTCACGCAGCCCTGAGTAGCTTCGTTCATAGGCCGATGAAAAACGTGTGGACATGCCAGAAGTGTGGAAGTTTGCAGTTGATCCCTCTTGAAAATCACCTTGGTAAATGCTAGATACACTATCTCATTCATATGTCCAACTGGTACTAAGTTCGACTGTTGCAAGCCTGAAAAGGATGGTGCCCTCAGAATCTATACTGAATGTGTCAAAGCTTGAAGGCACCGTTCACCATGAAAATGTCATTTGAGACTTCCCCCACCGAATGGATGTGTGGCACCCAATGATAGCACGTGGGACATCGTCGAATCAAAAGACGATCTCGATATGGTGTAGTGAGGGCTTCATAATCGGCCTGGCCGACGTACACACCCAAAAGTGGGCATGTTATGACGGCTTTGATAAGGCTGCACCACTCACAATGAAGCATTAGGGCATCGAGGAATAGTACGCTCATGTGGAAGACACCCAGACGGTTATAGACACACAATCTCGTACAATCCCCTTTCTTGCTACTTCTTTGAAGCCTTAGATTTCTCAGAAACCGGCTATTTTTGCGCTTTTTTCGCCATTTTTACTCTACTCGGCACAACAACTTCCATTATTCCACTCAAACTAAATACCTTAGTATAATCGTGAAGCGTACCTTCGACTAATTTTTCTTCTTTAACTATTTCAGATACTAACACGCAACCGGTACAAGCAACGATGATTTCTCCTTTTCACAGTGGAACCGTAATCTGCGCGATAGATTACTAACAAGCATACATACTGTGTTGTCAAGCCATTTATGATGTATTGAATCGTTTTATTCCACTTTTTTTTCTCTGTTCCATGCTGATGGGTATCACTGTTAAGCCGCGTCTATACTCGACGAATTTACAGAAGCTCATCTTGGTCCCATCAATCGATTGCGAAAAGGAACGCGATTTCTCAGGGAAGATGGGAATGGGCACATTATGTCGGATCACGCTTGGTCAGCAGTGTGACGTGGAGTAGTAAAAGCATTTCGTCGGAAAAATGCGACTGCCAGAGTGCCTTTGTGAATATTTGGCAGTATTTAGCAGTTCTTACGCACAGCAGCCGATTGGTTCTTTATCCGGACCGGCTGCAATCAATACGTACCACATGAGGGTGTGGCTGCAAAGTCGCTAAGTAAAAACGCTGTCTTTGTTTCTCTTCTTTATTATCCTCGCTCGATATTTTTCACGTAGGTCTTCTTTCATCATCAAGTGTCGGAAAGATTCCTAGATTACTGAAATATGCACATGCTTTTTTCTGGTGCTCACTAATTGGCTTAAACGAAAGCTCCTGTCACAAAATCAATGATAAGCGGGTGGCATGACCCGATATCAACGCTTATTTCTTATGCGTGCGGTCGCGGTGCGGTTCGCCTGGCGCGTTATTCGTCTTAGACGGGGAAAGCACGCTCCAGTGGATCTATCACGACCCGATGCGAATTTTTCCGCTTTGAGGCATGTATAGACTTTCCATAATAACACCGCTCACAAGAAAAAACACAACGCTTTACTTGTGTAAAAAAAAGAACGAGATAAATAGGCGTCATAGATAGATTGGTTTACTTATTTGAATAGTAGAAATTTTGACTCAAATAGCTCGGGGGCTGTTCAATTAGTTCTTCAACTGATGCGATATGTGTTATGGACAGTGTCAACAAAAAAATCTAGTAGCACAAGCAGTCGTTGAAATTGGTAACAATAGTGGTAATCAAAGTAAAACAAGTAGCACTGAAGTAACAGAAGGCAAGCTAACGATGATTGCTCGAAATGGAGCCGCCATCGTCTGATAAGAGGCTTTTCTCGCATCACCATAGATAGAGAAACGCACTTGTCATGAGTCCATGCACTTTCTGAATTATTTCAGAGGAAACATATGGTCCTATATAAGAAAACTTCGAAGAAATGTATTGAGGTTCATGGGCCTGGTGGATATGCGATAAGTGTGAGTTGTTTCAGGAAAATGGCATGACTGTAGTTTCATTGCGTTTGCCATTCATCCTGTAACAATTGAAAATTGTGGGGGAACTCCAATATTTCTTGAACTATAGAAGGACCTGAGAGGACCAGCGGTTATATAGATCAGTAAATTTCATAAACGATTCTGTTATCGTAACAGGGTCTAGGGACCGAGGTGGTGTAGCGACAAGTGGCGCACTATTACACAGGCACGGTCCGGAGATCGAATCTCGAGTCTATATCCGCCTAAGCTACCAAGCTTTCAATCCTACCGCCCCCAGGGTCGGTTAATTGGTTCAAGATTCGTCCGGGAGGATAAAAGCACTTACTCGTACATCGGCTGGTCACCGGAACTCAATGTGTGGGCCACATACGCATCCAATACGCTGCTACGATCCTGAATCGAATTCGAGTGCCAGGCGCATCCGAAAACGAGATTGATCAATGCTGAAAACATTATCCTCAGTCTATTTGTCATACCAACTCTCCTGTGTCATACCTCAGCTCATGGTTGTGGTGCCTACATAGGTTCGTTGTCCTGCAGGAGACGGCAGAAGGCATGTTCATGCTTCTGAAACTTAAAAGTTAGTATCGTGATGCATTTCAAAAAGTTCATCACCATAAATAGTCACGCTGTTATATTCATCATCGGTTATCTTCTTTGGGCCTAAAATAGTTCATACTGCCATTTATTGCACCAGGGTACGCTGAGGGATTAGGTGAATCTGACCAGTAATCTACCAGTGAAGAAAAAACCAACTAGAATCATTTAACACCCTCATTGGGGGAAATTTCTTTTTCGCAGTGGGGTCTTCAAGCCATTGTGGACTTGACATTTCTACGTGCTCGTAGTAACACTCAGAACAGAAGCAGTAATGAAGCTCGGGAAGTAAGTACATGTCGAATTCGAGGACGTCTGCCTATTTTGTGTCACTGTCCCCATTCTTCATTGCGTGCAACACGTGTCCTTCCAAGGTTACCTCAATGTGCACGCGCAAAAGCAGAGGAATCTGAAGTTTAAGAGCATTTTCATGACCTCCTTCTTCATTGCGTGCAACTCATTTCCCCAACATATGTTGTGTGGTTGTTGCTGATGTGGGTAAGCTAGGTAGCGCCGTCGGCGTTAGCATAGCAAAAGTTCGTGTATCAGATCCTACTCAGGCTAACGGATTTCCCGATCCTCGGCACTGGGTGGCCTCGACGATGGCGTGAGATCTTTAACCAGAACTGCGTGCCACGCTTACCTCATTCGACCGCGGGCTGTTAAGGGGAGGGTTCGATTTTTTGGTGGAACGCTACGGTGCCTGTCGCAAAACCATTTCCCATTTTGGGTAGAAAAACACCTCCAGTCACCTCGATGGAGTTGCATACCCAAACTTAGAAGGCAAACTAGCACTAGACTTATATGAGAGTCTAAGAGCTTCAACTTAGCAATCAAATCATCAGAGGGATCGATCAACGCCAATGACTCTACGGCTGTACTACACTGTATTGTAGTATTCAGTCCTTACAATCATCTACGGTATATAATGCCTCAGCCACATAATCATCTTATTCGTAGTTCTATTTTACTTGAGTCATCCACCAAAGATAGATAGCGGGTGGCATAACAGTTGGACAAATTCACTCACTATCATAAATTGCACTACTTTTTATAATCGATTACTAATCACGAGGGTGATAGCAGGTCAGATGATAAGCTTCACTGGTATGCAGGATGGAACTCGACAAAAATTTCGTTGAACTTCTTCCTCCCCCTTCTACCTTCAAACTGGTCCACTTCACAATCCATCTCCATTTTCTTCTCCCTCCTATCTTTCGGAGAATGTCAGATATGGAACACTGTTTTTCAAGAGATCCCTTAGGCGGGTATACCTCAGAATCCATTCCTATCAAATCAATGCAAAGAAAGGAAGACCTCGAGGAATCCTGTAGAAAAGAATGGCAGATGGTCTTCTTGCTCAAAGTAGAAGACGAAGCCTTGACTGACACAGTGATCCCATTATTCAGAAGGGTATCAAACTTTCCCGAATTCTCAGGTATCGGTTTTTTCTCCCTCCATCTATTTCTAATCCTTTTCTGTTGGATTTTTTGGATAGTATTTCCGAGAGTCGAAATAATAAAGGAAAGGAATTGGAACGTCTGATTACCAAGATGTGATTCCAAGTGGCACGAGGGGCTCAACGGTGTGCTTGATACCCATGACTTCGACGGCTACGTTTTCTTTTCCTGAAAATGCTTCTATCGTAGCCAATTTTCGGTTCTCCAACTCTGCTTTTGCTTACGTCATTAAAATTAAGTGTGGCTTCAATGCATTATAGCAAAAATAGCTATAAGTAATAGCTGAAGAGCGAAATAATACTGTGCTGTCGCGGCACTCGATTGCCTTGCAAAAAGTAAGGCGATTAGCAGGACGCCGGGATTTTTTGGAGCAAACAGGGTTCTTTGCTTTTCAAAAGGAATGTGGCTAACAACTCGGAGTGGCCTAGTTAAGGGTGTGGCATTTTGAGTGCATGAACGTATCTCTGTACGGAAATGGGCGGTACTATGGTCGAAACGTGGGTCGATTAAAGCACTTCACGCAATCAGAACAATAGCATGAATCATCTCGGCTCATACTGTCTCTTTTGGAAGATTTCTGTCAGATGACAATGACCTTCAGAAAGAAAGGAAG